AACGTCAGGGAATAAAGACATGCGAGCTAGCTGATCTACGGAGCAGCAAGTGTAGAGTGAGTCGCGAATGTGTCGTGTGCGCGAATAGAGTCATTTCCGTAGTGTGTAAACAGAAGAAAATTGTACTAATGGAAAGAGCAATAGAACTAAAAAGACAAAGTGCAGATAAAAAAAATGTTTAATAAATTTAACTTCTTTAATCGTTGTTTTATTATGTTAATCTTGTTTACTACTAGTATCATATATCGGATAACATCGCCGTTATCGCAGTTTTATTTCTTGTTTGTGTAGTGTAAGTTGAAAAGAAACGCTTCTATGTACTAGCATTCATTTTTTAGGGGGAAGTGATGTGGCGAACCACAGGTTCGGTTAAAATTTATTGATTGATTTTGTCTTTGATTTTCAATTTTTACTTTATTTGTTTTGAAAATGGTTCTCTGTATGATTTCTCACCTAGTTTAGTTTAGAACTAACGGTTTCGACTGTTCGAGTTGTCGGCCAATGGAAACGATTGTTTAGATTAAGAGCGTTCGAAAGAAAGAGTTTAAAAATCTCAGACGGGAAAAAGAGAGGCAGTCCCGCAGTCTCGTAGTCCGAGATCAGTTGTGATCTTGCGATAGTAAATTGAAGTTGAAGAGTTTGGAAGTTGGAGACTTAAGGAAGAAGCCGAGGAGGCAGTCACTTGAAAAGGCTGGAAGTAGCAGAGGCAGTTCCAGTGGGTGGAGAAGTAAAAAGTCGACTCGAGAATTGAGAAATAGGATCGTTGGTCGAAGGAACCCCGTGGCAACGATGAGATTTTTAAGCCTTTGCGAGTAATGTTTTGTAAAATCGTACTAATTGCTTACGTTCTGTTTGGTTTGGTATGTGTTTTTCCTACATCTAATGCGGTATGTCTTCATACAATCAAAATCACCCAAGTCAAAAAAAATAATGTTATTAGCGATTGAACAATGAAAATAATACAAAAAACACTAAAAAGAAAATCCCTAAATTGAACCCGCACGACTCCGTATATTTGAGCTCAAAATAAAGCCATAATAAAAAAATAAAACTAAAATCAAAAATAAATTCGCCAATGAAAATTATCGTAAAACAAAAAAACTAACTAATTCAATAGATCAAAAAAGTGGTAAGTACAAAAAACAAGTAACTGAATTATACAGGGTGAATAAAAAGTCTGGAAGACCTGAAATATCTTCAAAACGAGTTTCTTTCTGAAAGAATCCTTTCAGGTGTCAAAGACTATAATAAATTTGTCGTCTTTTCCTATATCTAAATTTTTTTTACAATGGCGTACATTTTCGGGGTCCAAGGGAGCAACATTTTTTTAAAAGGCGACCCCAATTTTTTATTCGATATTCTGAAAGAACACATTTTTTTCAGTATCTTAGAGCAAATTTTGAATTAGGTTGCATAAGAAAAATTCTGCGAAAAAATTTTTTTTTATTAATAAATATTTGATTTGGAGAAATTTCTAGTAGGCGCTGAAACTAATTGAAAATGCTTTCAAACTATCGCGATGCATGAACTTATCGAAATAATCGAAGTAGGCTTTGTTCGTATCTATGGTTACGTTGAATGATATTTTTACAAACAAATAAATGATTAGTTGTTTGGTAATTTTGAACATTCAAAATTACTTTAATGTGTTAGTTAAATCAAATTTTCTTCGAAAATACATAATTCTACTGTTAATTTCAAGAAATCTTCTAAAAAATGTCTCTTTCTGAAAAAGATAGAATTGAAATCCTCATGATGTGTGGTTACAGAGATATGAGAAGAACCACTGTGGAAGTCTGCGCACTTTTTAATGAACTACATAACGATCGCCCAGCAATATAACGAGCCACGGTGAGTAAAATTCTTGCTAAATACAGAGATCATGGGCATGTGCGCGACTTGCCAAGATCTGGTCGTCCTACAATCGATGAAGATGCACGACTTGAAATTTTGTTAAGAGTTGCTGATAATCCTCATACGGCTTCTCGTGAAGTAGGTTTAGAAATGAATTTGAGTCAAAGTACTGTTCTCAATGTATTACACATAAATTCCATCCTTATAAAATTTCACTAACTCAAGAACTAGTAGAAGATGATTTTGACCGTCGACTGCAATTCTGCGAACAAATGCAAATTCTGTGTAATAATGTTGTTTTTAAATATTGTTTTTTCGGACGAAGCTACCTTTTCTTTAAGTGGAGCTGTAAACCGACAAAATTTCATATATTGGACCTTAGGCAATCCCAAGTGGATGCAGGAGGCTCATACACAGTTTCCAAGAAAAGTTAATGTTTGGGCTGGTATAGTGAGAAACAGAATATTGGGAAAATTTTTTTTTATGAAAATCTGACAGGCGCTAGCTATTTGCAATTTTTACAGGAAGATGTGGTTCCAACACTAATAGCGATATACTCAGATGCAGATCAACCGGACAAATACGATAAACAACTATGGTTTCAGCAGGACGGCGCACCACCTCATTATGCCCTTCTCGTTCGAACGTATTTGGATGATATTTTTCCACAAAAATGGATAGGTCGACGTGGGTTTTTAGAATGGCCACCTCGTTCCCCAGACTTAACTCCCCCGGATTTCTTTTTATGGGGTCATTTAAAGAGTAAGGTATACGTTAATAAACCCGCGAACATCGACGATTTAAAGGTACGAATTCGGGAGGAGATAAGAAAAAGTTGAACCTGCCATAATTGATAGAGTGCAAGATGAGTTTATTTTTAGGTTAGGGCACTGTCAAATAGTAAATGGACAACAGTTTGAGCATCTTATTCATTGATATTTTCTGTTTTGTTTTGTATGTAAATAAAATCAATTTTTCTACTTATAAATGGATTTCTTTTCATAAAATTATTACATGGCAACGTAATAGAAAGCTTGCTCTTAAAACAACAATGCCTTGCATGCTATGGTATAAAAAATGGGAATTGCAACGTCTACTAGAAATTTATGCAAATCAAAAATTTTCTTATGTAACCTAATGCAAAATTTGCTCTAAGATACTCAAAAAAATGTATTCTTTCGTATTATCGAATAAAACATTGGGGTTGCCATTTAAAAAAATGTTGCCCCTTTGATCCCGAAAATGTACGCCACTGTAAAAAAAATTTAGACATAGGAAAAGACGACAAATTTATTATAATCTTTGACACCTGAAAGGATTCTTTCAAAAAGAAACTCGTTTTGAAGATATTTGAGGTGTTCCAGACTTTTTATTCACCCTGTATACAATAATTTTAAGTTATAATTATTCATTTTATTTTAGGTTTTTATCTGACCTTGACTGTGGTGAACCTAATCCAGTAACTTTCTTCTTCAGCAACGCCTTCCAGAACTTAGAAAAGGATGGATATTGATGAAAGAGATGGAGTATTGGACTGGTGTGAAGTTATCCATAAATCCCAGCAATAAACTTAAAACATTAATAATTCCGTAGCCAATACGATTTGAGTCACCAAATTTCACACACAGGTCACTCTTACCCTCAAGAACAGCTTTTTCGGGGGTGGGGGTTGAAATTTTTTTTTTACCAAAAACCCCCATTTGGTAAAAAAAAATTTCAACCCCCACCCCCGAAAAAGGGAAATTTTCACCCTGATGGGCACCTTCGAATTAAACCAAATTCTACCACATAATAGAACACAGTTCTAAGTATTTTTATCAATTTTCAAAACACTGTAACCACTAACGGTTTTCGAGAAAAAAAATTTGTTATTAGATTCCATACGTATAGAGCGCGGCGCGGACTTTGGGGTGAATTTGACCCCGATGGGCACTTCTGAAATTGATGAAATTTTAGGAAGATTTAGAGGATGCCTTTAGCGATTTAAATCGACCGTCAAAACATAGTAACCCTTAACGGTTTGAGAGAAAAAAATTTGTTATTAAATTGTACACGTATGTAGACCAGATAGTAGGTGCCTTTAGCGATTTTAATAGATTATAAAAACTGCGAAACTCTTAATGTTTCATGAAAAAAATAAATTTTTTAATTTTATGGGCTTTTAGTCGTTACTGGCAAACGGTAAGAACTCCGCCACGTGCAGTTACAAAAGGTGCTTCCGAGAAAATAGTTGCCGACTTATTCGGTGTTGTTTTTGAGCGTCATACACATTTTTTAGATTTTGCAAGAAGGGTGAGGAGTAAACATAGGAGTAAACTATTCTATTGGGGACGGAGATCACTAGTTGATATATTTCGCTGTAGTTCGCGCTTTATGCATATTTTATCGGTTTTTTTAGAATCAATCTGCTTCGATGTTTTCGTTAATATTTTTGTGTATATAATATATTGTGTATAAGTGTTGGTATTTAATATATAATATATATATTAATATTTTGCCGAGGCAACGACGTCATCATTTAGGAGCGCGGTAGAAGTTAATAAAGAAATAGTGATATTCAGAAACTTATTTTTGATGTTAATAAAGGTACGGGGAATTCCTTTTTAACTTCTTTTCGGTAAAAAGGTCACTTAAGCAGGTACGTAGCTTACGAGTTAGTGCATTGTAAGTACACTTACACCGGCTTTGACCAATCATAGCCATCGATATTACTGTAACACAGGTAAGAACTTAATAATATATAAAGGTTCCTCAGGTATTGCAGAAATCAGTTGTTCTGGTTATCTCTTGTTAAAAAGTGACCAGTGAAGATGCCGACGAAATTACTGTTTTTGGGCGATAGTAATTTTTGCCGAATGCTACGTACTATACAAAGTAAGTGTTTGTTTTAACAGATGTGAAATTAATTCCTACTAATGGTATATAGTTTTAGGACGACAATCAAAACGGACAAGCAACGGAAAATATTTCCTCGACTTAGCAGTAGGCGGTCAAACAATACTAAAACTTTTGCGGCGCGCAAAGTGTATTCCAAAAACATGTTCCCCTTGGCTGAACTTGGTGGAAACATATTGTTGAACGACATATCGTTATAATGATAGGAACTAACAATATACTCCACAAAACATCACCATCCCAATTGAAGTCCCAATATTCTCACCTCTTCCGCTTCCTTCTTTCCTTAAATCCTAAAGGAATACAAATTTGCACAATTCCTCCCTGCAAAAACTTCGAGTCTGTGAACGTAAGATATTATAATTTCTATGTCATGCTATAAATAAATACTCTCTATGCCTTTATAGGAAATCAATCATTACATTCGACGGTTTTGTGCTGAAAAGCAAATCAATTGTACCGACATTGAAGCAATTGTTAACAGAAACATGATGGAAGGGTAACACAACGTGAAAATTTTTCTTTTCTTATGTGTTTAATACAAATTTCTACACAGGGATGGCATTCACTTAAATGAACAAGGATTGGAAGCGGTTTGGAACGCGGTAGCAACTAATTATAATAATATTCTCAATCCATTACACAATTTAATTATAAGTAAAACAGACCATTAATATAATAAATTTCATTCTTTATCAAAAGTTTTTTTTTCTATCAAAAATCCACTCTCCAAATCATCCTAAAATTTCAGACAATCTCGGAAACCGTAATACATTACGGTGTTTGGATGGTTGATTTCAATCGCTAAAGGCATCCTCTAAATCATCCTAAAATTTCGT